TCATATACTAGCCAAAAACCAATTTTTACTTACATTTGGCACTTGGCAAGTGTTACATTTTGAACCCTGGCTGACATGCTAAGGGTGTCCAGCACACAGCCGCTAGTATAATTTTCTCATTTCCATAAACATATATACAGCAGTAGAGCTAATACAGTGGCTGGAAATCTGTTTATCCTTCAGTTCCTCGTGCTGCCCCATCTTCATAGAGAACGTGGTGCATGGTTGCTCAGAGCGCTTTGGAAAGAAAGTGGAAATGGTGCGGCCGCGATTTCCACGCATTTTTAGATGCTAGGAGCAGGGAAATCTATTTAGAGCGCCTTATTGTAGTAATTAAAATATCGATATTTGCCGCCAGATATCGATTCTCGTATCGCATGGAGAAGGACAACGATATATCGCCATATCGATATATTGTCCCACCCCTATTAAATACAAATGTATTTGAAAACATACCATTTTGCAGTTTGTTTAGTAATTGTTTAATGACATATTGCAATTCATATGTGTCATACTTCCCAGGTTGGAAAACACGTAAATCTGCATAAATACAGCAAAATCACAGTACTCAGATCTGATCATTGTATGTTTTTAGACAATCTGCAGATGTGCAATCTGCACAACCTGCAATCTACACAGAAAATGACCATAAAGCAGCTGATTCCACTGATCAATACATGACCAATTCCATCCCGGCAAGGGGCTATCCGTGAACTATCATTATTAATCTCACATTTAATCTCAACTTTCTCCAGGGGTTTGGGGGTTTGTCACTGTAATAAATGTACTTGGATAAAAGCATCAGTTAAATGACTAATTAGATATATAACATGAAGTTTCTGGAGATTTAGGTTCTTTGGCTACTTATGTTGTGTGCATGTGGGTGGCTCACCTGACTGTGGGTGGCAGTAGCTGCTATGATTATTGCATTGGCAAGGTTGGCACCCCGTGCTGCTGAAGTGCGAGAAGCCTGGGCAGCATGCATCACACTTGTCCCCGTGCACTCCAATCTTGCAGATGCACATGCCTGAACTGCCAGAAAAATACAGAGGAACAGTTATGGAGTTAGAAAGAGTTATACAGGCACAGAAAGAAAGACTTATTGTTCCTACAGAAGCATACAGTATCCTTCAAAAGCCAGACACAGAGAAGTTAAAACCTCTGTCCACATCAAACACCAGGTTTCCTCTGAACTGCCAGAATAGCTGCTCCTTCCCATCCATCACATGTTAATAGACCCGCTCCATGAAAGCTGAAGCAACATCTGTTAGAAATAATGCTGTAAACTAAAGGCATAAATACATAATTTATCTTTGATGGAAATCCAAATTGATAAATTTATCAAATTCAGGCATAAACAATATGAAATGACTAAGGTTTGTGGACAACAAATACCTAAATGTATTTCATTGCATTGGATTTAACAGCAGGTAGGATACACCAGAACCTTTCCTGCCCTGGGTTACATGAAAAATGATTACACACAGGTAAATTAGTCATTAGTGCCTGTGTGTGTAATACAATCTCTTTGTACTGCTTAGAAGAGAAACAGAGCAGGGTAAATGCTCTACGTGAGAAATTAAAGTGTAACAATATCAGAACACTTAAAATGAAAAGGAACAGAAATTCCCAGAGATGAGAAAACGTCTGATTATAATATTATACACTTCAGTCTTTGAAGAGCAAATGAGGAATGCAGAAGGATGATTTCTTCTGAGAGGCTTGTGAAATCTATGTGTGAAAATTATTTCTTTCAAGCACATGCGCACACACACACACTCTCAGAGTGAATTTACTCTCCACATGTACAATCAGAAGCTCTCTGCCTTTGCCTATACTCAAGAGTAATTAGACTACTTGCTATTCTGACTGATGCTGAGCTCAAAGTCCTGAGAAAAATAACCCTGACATGCTGGATCAGTTGAACTCGAGATCTCAAATCATATCAGTATTCCTACTGGTTTGATTAGGATACGCAATATTGAAATAATTCAAAGTAGGGGTGTGCGATATTGACAAAATATGATATCTCGATATTTTCTGGGATTTTATCGATAACGATAATTAGACAATATTTTGCTGAGTGTGTTATTGTG